GGATCTGATCTCAATTCCAGGTCCCTCTCTCTGAGCATTGCTTTCAATGGCTTCCCTCATGCCCTTCTCTGGGCATGATCTGTGTTGAAGAATAAGCAATACTCATTTTTACTAAAGCCTGTATCAATAGGATTGATAGGGAACCTACTGATGCGTGGCATTGGACTGGATAATCTCTAGAGGTCCCTTCCATCCCCTATGATTCTGTGATCCTGGGAAGATTTGGGGGTTTGTTTTAGCACCTAACTGCTTTGGAGGATCCCAGAGCAATTGTCAAAGCATTCGTATAGTCCTCCACCACTGAAATTTGGTCCCTTTGAAGTACAGCTTGCATTTATTGAACAGTAACAATACATCCCTCAGTAGCTAATGCAATAATAATCAACTTAAGGCTTGGAAGTGAAACCAGGTTTTAGATAGCTGTTATTGGATTGCAAGCCCCTATTATATGTGCAGGAAGGGATTGTTTTCTTCTGGGCACTAGAGAAGATCCAATAGGCCCACAGTGACATGGTAATATTGATGCTGTAGGTTCAGTGCAAGGTGCAGGAGACTTTGGGCACAATGTGGGGACAATGCAGGGCAAGTGAGGCTGACTTTCCTGCAGGTTGATCCAAAGAAATCCAGCTTCTCCCCGTGTCTTCCTTGTGGTCCCAGCTGGGCAACCCTGACAGCAGCTGTGTAACATCTGGCTCAGCTGCAGACCATCTGTCCTGGTATCTGTCCATCTGCTGCCACGTGGGGTGTCCTGCAGCCAGGTCCTGCTCCTTCTCCAGATCCTTTCCCTGACGTCGATTCCCCAGAATTTCTGGGAACTTGATTACCATTGAGATTTTTGCCCCTTTCCCATTGTCAGAGGAAACTGGCTGACGTTTGGGGCTCCTTAGGGAAGACAGAGAGGTGGAAGGATGGACAGACAGCAGGCACTCATCCTGGCTGTGGGATGGATCATTACTGAGGTTGGACGACTTTCATTGGTCATAGCATGTGCTGTCATTTCCAATGGGGAAGGCATGCAATGGTGAATGTTGCTCTGTGGGGAAGGGCTAGCTGTGTGCCCACCCTGGGGAAGTTATGGAGAGAGTAATTCCTCCCCATCTGTCATCTCTGTCTTCTGCTTGGAACCCTCTTCCTTTTTCTGTAAATACTTATTACAAAGACATGTGAGTATTCAGTGCATATGAAGACAACAACTGCATACGTAAATGGAAGTCTTGAGTGCCTGTAGGGCATCTCTTGTCCCCTCGCAAACACGGAAGGTGTTTGAGCTCCTACTTGCCTCCAGCAAAACAGGGGGGACCTAATGGAACCTAAAAACCTCACTGATACTGGTGAATGGCCTGCTGCAAAACAGCTGGGGCTGCTCTTGGATGGAAGAGCTGGGAGTTGAGCTGCACATTTCCTGGGCTGGAAAACAAAGGTGAGAGCAGCACGAGTGGGATATTCCTGCTCTGGTTGCATGAACTGTCTCAGATAAGCTAATTAGAAGGGCTTTTCTTGGCGGCTAACTGATAGAGACAGCCACATCCAGGGGCTGACTCAGCCCAGCTGCTCGGAACTGGGTGAATCATCAGCTTAACACGAGCTGGCAGCAGATCGGGGCGATGTGACGCGGCTGCATCCTCACCTGGCAGGAGATGAGATGCATCCCATCCTCCAGCTCTGTTTTCCAGCTGAGATCTCAGAGCTTTTTGCCAGGGAGGAGAAGTCTGGTCTTGCACAAGGTCAGCCGCTGCCCCGTGTTATAGACTGAAGTTATTTGGAGTTGCCTTCCCCGAGTGAAGTTTCTAAGCTTTTGGAGACTGGGATCCCACTGTACACCAAGATGGGATGGGCAACCGAGGCCATCCATCCTCATTAAATATCCACAGGCACTTTCCTGAAAAAGCCTGTGAGCTGTGGTCTGGCCAAACTCCAACTGGGATAATTACATTTGCCTCGCAGTTTAAAATAAATGCGGCACATTCTTCAGCAAATCTCTTGTTCACAGCTGTTTATTATTGGGATGGCGGCATCATATCTCTGCCCATTAATCCGTCTCTCCTCCTTTCCAAACTTGCAGCCTCCTGGAGGGGGGTTGAGCTGCCACTATTTATTATTGGAGTCAATCTGCCAAGCAAATGTTTACTTCCTCCCTTAAACATTGACTCTTCTCTAAACGTACCCTCACTTGAGGTTGGATGAGCAATCATTGGTTCCCAACCAAAATTTGTTCTCCTAAGCAGAAAATATCCACGCACTTAAACTCCAGTTTTGCACCAGTCCTGCAGGTTACAAACAGATTTGCAGCACCCTTCTCTATGGGGATGGTTATGGGGTGAATGGGGTTGACGCAGGTGCTGGTCCCCATTCATTCTCCCCCTACAAAACAGCCCTACAGCCTTTGTGCAGTCCATCTCCCATGCCCATCTCCAATCCAGCCTTGCTGATGCCCACCTCATGCAGTCATTTCCCCCAGATAACTTGCTGAGGACGATGGATTGCACGCAGCATTAATCCTTCTTTTCCTCCACACTCACTGCTTGTTTATAATACAACCTCTCTGCTCAGCAATTCATTACACTCGTGGTGGAGATAAGGCCCAGTGTTGGAAGGGGTGCTTGCCAAAATAGCAGCTCTGGGGCTATTCATGAGCAGCAGTGATAGCAGGAGCTCTGGGCAATGTTTTGCACAGTAACCTCATTTGGGCACCCGCTAACTGCATTCTCTGTGAGTTAATAAAGGCAGCAACCGAGCAGCACGCCTTATCTCACGACTTCTTGCATGGACCAGCTGAATTTTCCTCTAATTGTGATTCAATTTGCAGTGATCGATGGTTTAATAAGAGAAAAACATGCTTGGTTTCCAGTGCTTATGGCTGCTGGTGGCCCAGGGAGCATCCCACGATGCTGGGTTGTGGAGCTCTGAGAGCTGACTGCTGTGCTGCAGTTCCTGGCAGGCAGAAGGAGGGGAACAGCAAGGTGTTGTGCCCAGAGATAGGGAAAGATAAATGAGGCTTATGGCTCCCAGATGCCTCGCTTGCATTTATTTTGCCTTTTTCATGGGGAAAAGAGCATTGCTCATGTAGTGTTTGCCTGGTGAAAGCAATGGTGAGTTCTGAGTTTGGGTTTTGGGCAGTGGTTTGGGTTCTTTCTTGGTGGTTGCTTGCCAAAGGGGGGAACCAGGTCTGCTGGATTTCCAACATAACTAATAAATAAATAAACAATAAAAGGCGGTGCCTTTTGTTGCTGTGCCCAGGAATTTTCCTTTGCTTTCCTTTGGAAGGAGGAATTGTTTCTTCCTGTTGCACTTAGGAGTTAAATTCCTACTTTCATCGCTAGGGACTGAAGGCATCTTGGCTTTCTCTTGGCCTCCTAAAGGATGAAATAAGTCATAGACTCTGTAGGAAGGGCATGGGTGAGGGAGGATGAGCTGAGCAGGGCTGTGCTTTCAGCCAGGATCTAAACCTGGACATCAGCATAGGGCTGTTGGTTGTGCATGGACAAGGCACTGAACTCTCCTCCCACGGGGGTACCAGGGATGTAGATATCCCCTCTCCTGTCACAAACCATCTCAGCCCTGTGCCTGTCTTTGGGTGTATGCTAGGAAAACACCCCTCCAGCCAAAACCCAGACAGCTGTAGTCTTATTGGATGCCAGATATCACTGTTTTTCACCCATATACCCTTACAACTTGAAAGCTGCTCTTGCTGTCCAGGTAAGGATCCTCTGGGGAAAGGGAACGTGCTGTAAAAAGCCCTATGATTGGAGCCAGATGCTGGGCGTGTTCTCCCAAGTTCACAATCTGCGATTTGCTGACAGCAGAGCTGGTGCTAAGTTATTAAATTGCAGATGAGCTCATCGCTTGGCCTCGGACGAGTTTCAGCCTTGAGTGGCTTTAAAATATTACATGTGGTGGGAAGAGACAGTGCTGGTGTGGCAGAGAGATTTAGGGAGCAGCTGAGAAAGACATCTGCACATAAGGAATGCGTATGGGGAGGGAGGAGGGGATGCTCCATGTGAAAGACGTGAGCTCTCCCAGGAGAGAGAAATGCTCAGATTGGTTGGTTCTATGTTTTAATCTTAGCTGAAAACTGTCAGCCTTCTGAGATGTTCAAAGGGAAGTGGCTAGATGCTAAGCCTGGTGTGATCCTGAAAGATCCCGGTGTGTTGAAAACAACGTGTGGGATTAGTGCTGCCTAGCCCCAAAATCAGCCCCTATGGTAGTTTTGTTTGCACATCCATCTCTGACCTGGTATTTGCTCAGTCATATTATCATTAGGGATGGAAAAGACCTCTAAGATCGCCAAGTCCGACCTACATTACTACGAGGATGGGCTGGAAGAGTTGGCTTTGGGGGTCCCCCTGCTCTACGCATCCAACCCTATTGCTCTTGTATGGGTAAAGGCTGCATCTCTACTGTGAGGCTTCTTGGGGAGCTGTTCAGGTCTTGGGGTATCAGGAAAGACCTCGTTGGAATATGCATTCATTGGAGTGCAGTTCTACTCCCTGATTTTGAAGAGCAAAACACTGTGGAAATGGAATACTTGAAGCAAATGGAATACACTATATATAACCCTTCCTCTCCTTGTCCCTGTGCACTAATGTCTTTCACAGAATGAGTTCTCTGCCAAAATTCCTCAAATTATTATGTCTAAAGATTGAGAATCGGAGAAAATAGCCTTAGAGAGGCCCTCAAGTGGTCTGACCCTCCCCAGGGCAGCATTAGCTCCATCTGAACTGTTCCTGACACATCCCTGCCTCCACCCTTCCCAGCCTGCTCCAGTGCTTCATCACAGCTCCTGAGTTTATCCTTCTGCTTCCCCTTCTGCAAATTTAGGCTCATTCCTCCCTCCTTGTGGTTTAACAGGCATGGTGAGGATGGGTTGGTGTTTGGATTTGATGTTATTAGAGGTCTTTTCCATTCTCAATGATTCTATAATGATCAGTGAAGGGGAATTTAAGATCCATTCGAGTAATTGGCTTTGGAGTTGTGTCTAATGTTGTACCCTGTCTCTGCAGGATTTAGGAATGGAGTCGACCTCTCTGGATGATGTCCTCTACCGATATGCCAGCTTTCGGAACCTGGTGGATCCAATCACTCATGACCTCATCATCAGCCTCGCTAGGTACATCCACTGCCCCAAGCCGGTAGGTAACACAGCATTGTCACAGCCCACAGCTGCTGGCTTGGAAAATGCCTCCACTGGGAGCATAAGGCTTTGCCAAGTGCTAGGCAGAAGGCATCCTCCTTAATTCAGTGCTGATGGGTCTTTGGTCAGAGAAGATGTGCTCAGGCATTGTGGTTTCACTGCAGGATAGTGAGTTTTCCAGGTACTGTAGTGACATTACCCTTATGTGAGTCCTTTGGGTCTTGGTACTTGGTTTTGCAAGTTATCTCTGCTTTCTTTTACTCGTTTCTATGCTAGAGAACTTGTCCTGTTGGGAACAATTTCTGCCTTGCAAGGACACCAGATCCTTCCTCACCCTTGTGCAATATTTATCGTGACCCCAAATGACAAAGAGAGTCCTTGGCTGTCTTGCAAGGATGGGTTTCTGAACAAGCCCAGTTTGTGGGCTGCTGGTTGGGCTCTGCCATAAGCACAGCCCCACACTGATGGGAGCTTTCAAACCCCTCAGCCCCATTTGCTCCCTGGCAGCAATAGCAGTGTTTGGGCTTTTGGAAATCCCATGCTGGCTCGCTTCTCTTCTATGATGAATGTGGCTCTGCGTCGTGGCTGCTGGCTGTTAGGATAATTAGGGTTTTTCTCTCTCCCCAGGCTTTCCTTTTAAATAAGCAATATTGTCAGTGTCTGATCCAGAAAACAGCGTAGGCTTAAGAGTGTTACAAGATGTCTGATTGCTCGGAACGCAATGGATAATGGGGAGAGGGGAGGAGGGAAGACCAGCAGCTGCCAGACATGATTGCAGGAGACACTGCAGATCCGGGGGTTTAATCTCCCATCCTCAGTCCCCCACGTGTAAATTTAGGAGGCACAACTCTCCTAGAACGATGTGCAGTGCCCTGGCGATGTGTCATGCATCAAATTGTGTTTAAAAGAAATGATGTGAGCTGTAGGAAGAGGCTGAGGGATGCTTTCTGCTAAGCGTGGAGGAGGAGTTAGGGGCATCCTGGTGGGACGTCTGGCATTCCAATAGCTTCCGTAGAGTTGTGGGGACAGCTGGGGGGACAACAGAGCAAGATCCAGCCCAGCATGGGGACCGCCCTGTGCACCCCAGGTGTTGTCCCAGTGCTCCTGGAGGGACTGTGTGTCTCTCTGCATGAGCTCATCAGCCTCTGAATTTCTGCCAGGAACACACATGTTGTACTCTGCATCCCAAGCGCATGCTTTATTTGTAAGCTGTTTTTTGGAAAGGACCATCCTTAGGATGCATGGGTCTTAGCTGGACCTGCAGCATTGCCTCTTTCATTTTCTGTAAAATCCATGAGGTTTACTCACTGCTATTCCTTGTGGGCGTTTCACACCTCTACTGAAAAATGGGGGAAACTGATTTTAAACACATTTAAATGGCAGCCCATGCAGTATTGGATCTCTTCTTCTGCATGGGATGCCTCTCACTGAATGCACGTGGTCCTCATCCCCTGATTTTCTGTCTGTCCCCCAACAGGCTGCATGCCTTCACCACCTGGGCTGTTTTCCAGCCCTTTGACTCGAGACTTCTTGCTCTTCCTATATTTCTTTGGCAGAGATTTGGCAGCCTCACACGAGAGCAAGGGAACATGGGGCCAGGAGCCAAAGGTATCCATAACACCCCCTGGCACAAATATACATACATCCTAGATCTCCTATACCTATGTATAGGGTGAGGCAGCTGTGAACTTGCCCACAGGGAGGTGGGAAGCTTGGACTTATGCAGACCCCAATGCTCAGCCTCTATTTATACCACCTTCGCTTAAAGGTGACCCCTTGGCCTCTTCTCCCAGCTAAAATAAAAATGGAATGGGTTTTTCCAAGCTCTGGGTAAATACGTTCTGCGTTGCATGGCCAGGAAAAGTTGGCCTGGGCTCTCTGACGTGGCTGAGCAGCTCCTGCTTCCAGCAAGCAAATTCAAACCAGGAGCGAGGGGAAATGCTTAGCCTAGGCTGGGGGAGGCTGGAGAGCTCAAACATGGAAACCCTTTGGGTTTGCTCTCCTAGGGATGGCCATGTGTTTGGAGCATGGGCTGGGCTCTGCTCTTGTGAGATCTCTGAGGTGCTGGAGCTTGGGTGACTTTTGTTAGAGGAACACCAGCTTTCTTCTGGAACCTGGAGGTTCCAGGGCTGAACCAGGAGGTCAAGGGCTGGATTTGCTCAATCCTCTATTGCAGATGAATGACGTAATTTGACTGACGTTTGCATACAATCAAAGACATTTGAACTAGTGTTTCCTTCCCCACAGCCTTGACCTCAGGGCTGTGTATTTTATCTTGCAGTTTCTCTTTCTCCCAGCACCGTGGCAATGAGCCAGAACAATGCTTGGAGAGTGCATTTCTGCTGCCTTGGGCACAGCCCACAGCCAAGCCATTGCCAAACCCCCAGTGGATTCAAGAGGTGATTGCAGAACTATGGTGCAATGTCTGTCTGTCCAGGGTCATGCTCTGAACGGAGGACATGCTCTGAATGGGAACAAAGAGTGGTGGGAACGCCACAGGGCATGGGTTACTCAATGCCCCAAATCTTCCTTACACCCAGTTAGGTTTTTTCCTGGCAGAGGAGCTGAAAACACACATGTGCAAGGAGGAAAGGACCATAGCAGAAAAAAAAGAAAAAAAGAAAAAAATCAGCTCTTTTTGCCAACAGGAATATCTGGCCATAAACTACTGGAAAATTAAAGTGGTTTCTTTTTTTCCACAGACAGTAGCCATACGTATGGATGACTGATGACTGTGATAGTGAGTGAGTCAGGCTTTCCCCTGCTTGAGAACTTGTTGGACGTGGGATGAGCACCGAGCAGGGCTTGAGGGGGAACAGACAGTGAAACCTTGGGGGACAGCTGCTTTTCCCCTTGCTGCCTTGGTGCAGTGGTTCCTCTGGCTCTTACAGCTGCTGGGGGGAAGCTGAAGTAAATGCAAGATGAAGTGCTGGCTTTGCTTATCCCTGTCCCATGGCTGGCCTTGCAAGAAAACATTTTTGCCCATGCTGGTTCCAAGGGCTGGCAAAGCAGCTGAGCAAAAACCTATTCCCGACCCAGCTTTGCCTGGCTGCTCCTCTGCAAGCCCATTGAGAAGAGAGGTGAGAAATGGAACCCCATTTGTAGGGTGTTGGATGTGGACAAACAGGTCAGCATGAAAACGGGGTCTTGTTTCTCCTCACTGAAAACAGGGAGGTGATGGGCTGAGATGGGAAGCAGGATGGGATTTGCTTGTGCAGGGCCTGATAGAGTGAAGATCTCTTTTCTTGTGCACTTTGTGTCATTTGAGAATCCATGGGTCCCTGGCTCAGATTTCCTGTGTGAGCTCTAAATCGATCAGGTTTGCAGTGTGGGTTTGATTATACGGATCATCACTCATGAAAGCAAGAAAAAGTGCATAAAGAAGTAGCAGTTATCACGACCTGCTTGGAATGGTCTATTTCATCTTCAGCCCTGGGGTATAAGAATTTGACTTACAGATGATGTTGGGTTTTGATGCCCTGCATTTTTAAAGCGTGTTATTTCTGATGGAGCCGTGCTGAAAGTAATATGAGCATCTTTCCTCTAATTTACAGCACTGTGTGCTGTGACACGTGGGTGAGTGTGTATTAACAAACTCAGCTTATGTGGAGTGAATATAGCTGGAATACCGTGACCATCAAAACGAAGCTCATAACCCAACTCCTCCACCATGCCTGTTGGTATTTGCTCTTGAATTCAAATTGTCTGGCAAGTTTCTGACATCACACTAATTTTTGTAGTAGGATAAGCTACTAAAAGCAGTGACCCATCGACCTGTAAATCCCCCAAATATCTGATATAAAAGCAAAGAGAATCCAGTTAAGTCAATTGTATTCTGTATTAATGGCTTAGGTTTTCTTTTTTGTCAGTTTTGCTCCAAGTCTGAAGATCACTTTCTGGGTATTTAAGACATCTGCAATACATTAAAATATCCTGCAGCGTGAAACTGGCTGAGAAGCTCAGGCTCTGCTAACAACTCTGGTTCTATCTCGATATAAAGGGCTGTGCCCTCTGCTCTTTATAAAAAGAGAGATGTTCTCGAAAGCCTTTGTGCACAAGCTAAAGCTGAGCAGAGTGCCTTGGAAACATGAGAAAATTGCACAGAAGGCAATTGCACTTTGCAATTATTTTACCATCAAGGCTAAATGTGAATAATGGTGAGGTCTAGATGGGCTGTGATGGCACCAATGCCAGCAAATTTGCTGGGGAAGATTGTGATTATTTTTTTCTTTAATATGGAATGGGGTGCAGAGAAAGAGGCAATATCCCTCGCTCTTTCTTACCTTTCCCTATGGAAGTCAGAAACCCAGATACAGACTTCTGCACACGATGGCTATTCAGTGTGTTCAGTGTAGGAGAGCCAGGGGAAACCCATCCACATGTGGTGTTTTCAGCAGCAGGAAGAATTCCCCTGAATTTAAAAGCTCTGATTCATTTGTGGAACTGGGCAAAGGCCCGGCAGCACGTGCAGCTCTTGCTGCAGCGTGGGGAGACAAAGGAGCCTTTCACATCCTCACTACCTAAACGATACCATGTGGGGGCAATGAATGGGGAATCTGTGATTCCACAGTCTTGAAGTGCTGCACAGCACCATTCTGAGTGTAGGAGGCTGGACGAACACATTTGTGTTATTGGAACAGCTGGATGAGGTTTGCATTAACAAAAGATAAAAGTATTAAATTTTAAATGCTTGTTTCTCCCTGCTCATCCTCTTGGTCCCATGCAGTATGGCCAGGTCATTCTTATCAATTTTTTATCTGCTCTGCTTTGCATTGCTTCAACTCAAAATCTTGACGCCGGCTCAGTTCCCATAACAATAAGTTGACCTTTCCTAACAGCTGCACCAGTGTCTGCAAACCCTCCCAAATGCCACAGGGTGGATTTTTGTCAGCTCAGGGACGGATCTTGCAGAGCTCCAAAATGTCAGGCGCTGTGCAAGGGCTTTGGTGCACGAGTTGGGACTGGAGCAGGTGATAAAGGAAAGGAACCCAAAGCAAA